GCTTTGACACAACTTTGAATAAGACAAAGAACACGCACGTGCACGTTTACCTGCTGACGACGTTGTTCTTATTTACTAGTTCGTAACTGTTGGGATACTGCTATTTTCGTTTCCTGGATAGCCTACTCGCTGTGCCCAACTAGTGGGTTTGTCTCTTACACGCTTATGCCTCAAAAGACATTGACTGTCCGGCTCAAACAGTTGGCGTTAGAGCAAGTTTCGGTGGTACAAAATCACAATGATCATTACTCCGAGAGTTAGGGTTTCAGCTTCGCTTGTTTAAGAATGACGTAACAGGACGGTCGGTATGAATGCCTGCCCTTATCCCTTAATTTGCCGTCGGAGGTAGAACAGTGTGTAAAGCTATAACATTCACTGGCGCCCTCTTGGGACCCAGTCAGTCCAATCCTTGGGTGAAATTTAAAATAGAAATAAGAAAGAAAAATGTGCTCAGGAGTGCAGCGCTGGACTGCTGTACATCAACAGTTTTTAAATGCAGTACCAACCCGTGAAGATCAGCTACTTTGGAAATTCCTGGGGGGTCAGAATGGTTGCTATTCACATGTACACACACGTCAGCCCACATTGCGCACATAGTGGCCACTACGTAGACACATTTATTCCGTCTTAAACACTGTTTATTCATCAGTCCTCTACTATAAGTTTGAAACCAGTTTCACAGGCTTTTGGTTTCAGACAATTTTCAGCCAGTGCTCCGATGTTTAGCAGCTGCAACCGACGCACACATGCCTCGGTTGGGATATCTCGGAGACGTGGGGGCAATTCCTCCGGTCTAGGTCTGTGCACCACGTCCCAGATCCAGCTTTCAATCCGCTTGGAAGGCCTTTCTTCTTTTGAGTGAAACCTCCTAATAACATCCTCCTGAGGTATCTTATTTGCGGCCCTAAACTCGGCCTCTTGGAGGGCTAATTCGTCTTCTTCTGATCCGATGCCGACAGAAAGGTCAAACTGTAACAGACGAGGTAGACGCATCCATGGTGTCAGGGCTGCAACTACCTCGTCCATGTTGTAGTGAACTTGAAACATGTGCGGATGGTCGCCGACTTTGCATACCTTTGAGTGGGATATGGATTCTGAAACCGAAAACAAGACCACATGACAAGCCTCACATGTGTACGTCTCCAGCACTGCGAGTGGCTGAATGAGCAGACGCTCAAAACGCTCGCGCCGCGGACAAGGATGGGTAAGGAACTGCATAAATTGGGTGTAGACTTCGTTGCAGTCGTAGCAGCGAAATTTTACTTGTCGTGCCGGCAAATAAGGATTCTCTGCCTGCTCAATTGACCATCGGCGAAGGGCTACCCGCAAGAGTTCCGGTGTATTCAGGCGCACAAATGAAAATTTCATGGTCGAGCAGGCTTTAAAGTGGCTAATACATTCTTCAATATCTGGAAACAGGCACTGACAGTCACAGCAGAAGAGAGTGAGCTCCAGATTAGCTGGAGTAATCAGTTTGCCCGCCACACATGGGTGATAATAAAACTCCAGAAGGTTAGGCTGGATAAATCCACATTCATTGCAGCATACCTCCATGTCGGGGGCCGGTTTCAGACTTGGTGGTGGTTCTGGTGGATTACCAGGTGGTTCACCAAAAGCGCGCTCTTTGAAAGACGCACCAGTGTGTAAATGTGTGTCAAAATCGAAACAGTGGCGTCCCATAACAAATTGTTGACAGGCAATTTCTGTTGCCGTTGCGGCGAATTCTATGCAGAATTCCTTGTTACGATTACAGTACGGAATGTGTTTTGAGTACTGCTCGATGTTAAGAAATACGTACCTGCAGTGCATGCAGGTTTTGAAGCGGCGCATATGAGCAGGCTTAAGCAGGGAAAACATGATACAACTGTGCGTGAGATAAGCGACTTTCGTCTTAAACTTGTTGTTGCACTTGCAGCATCGACAAATGTAAAAGTAGTCTGGGTCATGAGGCCTTGTCTCAGATTCCACTCTTCGCGTCCAAGCGATATAAAAGTCATGGTGTTCACTGTAATTGATCGGCAGGACGTCCTCAGGCTCCCAGTGTTCAAGCTCATCGCAGCGTTTCTTATCAAAGCAGACATGACTGGCATAGTCGCCATGGGAGTAGAAAACAAGCTCACAGTTCCTGCACGCGAAAGCTTGAGTGCATCCGAGGTGAAACTTAGCGACGTAATATTTCCGCCAACAGCAGTGATTAATGAAGTCTTGAAATGAATTTAAGACGAGGCGACAGCGTATGCATCGAAAGTGCTTAAATGTGTAGTCCTTTATATCATATTTCGTCCAAACGCGTTTCCTTTTTACATCCTTAACCACGAGAGGTGGTGGACCCACAGGTGTCGGGGATCCCTTCTTTTTACCCGAAGATTTACTTTTGGGGGACTTTCCTTTCTCCTTTCCCTTGGAGGATTTTGACTTGGGCGGCATCCTGCGCCGTCACGAGGATATGCGAATGGTCCAGTAGGTCTGCGCAGTATCGATCCACTCTTGAATTGACGTACACAGGGGATGACGGCGGGTGCGGTGGACGACCGCTGGCATGACGGCAGACTTGTGTGTACTCTGAGGCCGCAGCGAAGTGGGATAAAACTTGTGCTCCAAAGTCCACATGTGATGCGATCAAAAATCCTAGAGTAGTGACCAACTTCGAGGCGACAAACTTTTATATCGGGTCGATGTAGGTAATTAAAGATTAACCGTAGCGTCTTTTTGGAAAATTCGCAGAATTGTTCCAGTGACAATTCTAACAACGGTCTTATTTCGGGAGGGAAAAAGGTACTTAAAATGGATGCTGATTGCAAGCATTCTTAGGTAGAAAAAGTATTCTGTTTTCCAGTAACTGCATGACATATCAGTTATATTTTTGTCGGAGGCGGGATTATGGTTCCCCCATACTACAGGTGGTTTTGTGCTAAATTCCTGAAGTAGCAGTCAACAGGTCGTATCGAAACTGATACAGTTGAGCAACAGCCACCCACTGGTGGAATGCCCAAGCAAAGCCAAAAGAAGAGGAAACAAATCTCCCAAAAGGCCATAATGTACCGTTACAGAAAATCGTTGGCTGCAGAAATATAAAAAGTGCTAGGAAAAAAGAAAACTACAAATTAAACAAACAGCGTCGCTCTCGCCAAACTAGGTAGTAAACGGAACTCCGAAATCGCAATCTGAGCAGGGAAGCAAGAATGGCAGCGCACGCTCATCATTGATAATCACTCAGCTGAAGGATAGCGACAGTTTGACCGTCGATCGCGACGATCTGCAACACAGCAAGGTGCAGCAGGCACGGTGACTTGCGCATGAATTAGTTTATAGTGGTAGCAGACTTGCGCAGCATCTACCGCACTTTCTCCTTCTCCCCCCACCTAGGAACCGGTGTCAAGACACAGTCAAGAAGACCGGAGGCGGGTGGGGGGGACGCAGGTTACTGGCCCGGCCGGACCCGCACCTAGGTGTGCCACCACACCCCCTGGTCCATAACATACACTTGACCAACAACAACACCCCAACATGGGTCAGAAGGACGAGGACGATGACCGGGCAGCCATGCCCACCACCTGTATACCCCAGCGGGAGCGCGAGCGCATCTACCGGCCGGGAATCAGGCGTCAAGTAACTGCCGGCGAATACAAGGCTACGAGAGTTATGGTTTGCTGATACTGGCATAGCACACGCTTTCAGACCTTTTGACCTAGAAAGGCGACGCGTGGCCCAGCATCCAGCCTGGATCGTCACCTTCCAAAATTGGGTAACCAAACAGTCCTCGACTGAGAGACACTACCCATAAAACACACACAAACACAAACATTCTCCTCACATGCATGAGATTGTCACAGATCGCTTGGGAAGGGGCCGTAACAGCCTGGCTCTCAGCCCACCAGTGCGCCACTCCACACAACACGCACAACTGGACGGACTGCGTGGACTGAGTTGGCGCGTCAGTCGGCTGCCTTCCGAGCCACGGCGCCCGACGCACCGTCTCCGTCTCAGACTCCGACTACACATGCGGTAGGGGAGCCGCATGGAGGAGGAGCCGAAACGCAAATTTCCACTTGCGTGGGAGGTGACAGTTGGGTGCTGGCGGTGGGTGATGTTGATGTGCGGTGAGATGCTGGTGAGGGGGGATGTGGCGGTGTGGTTACATGTTTTCCTGGACGCGCATGTGTCCTGATAAATCCATGCGGTGAATAAAGGGGCGAGTGCATTGTGGACAGTGGAGGTGGATGCGGCGAGTGTGGGTTAGTGTTCCAGACACTGGTTCGCCAGCCTCTGTGCGATGGATTCGCAAGTGACCGACCAGGCCAATGCGTGAGGTGAATGTGCGGGGGCAGTGTGGACATGAGAAGTTGGCCGTGTCAGTATCAGCATCGGTGATGGTGATGGTGGAGCTGGTGGTGATGCGCGCGGGACGACGGGATATGGATTGGGCTGAGCATGGTGGGTTTGCCAGATGTACTGAGTACGATGGAGCTGGTGGCGGTGGGCGCGCAGGGCGGCGGAGTGTGGGCGGGGCTAGGCATCGTAGGTCCGTCCCGGACGAGGTCTTTCCGGTTTGTCGGATTGATCTGCAGGTGCTTTCGGGAGGTTTTCAGAGTATCCTTGTAGCGTCGGACTTGACCTCCTTGTCGGCATGAACCCGTCGCAACATCTTCATAGAAGAGTCGTTTAGGTGGTAGCCTCTCGTTGTCCACTCCTACGACGTGGCCGCTCCAGCGTAGTTGTAGTTGTCTCAGCATAGCGTGGACGCTGAGGATTTGCGTCCGCTCCATGGATCCGGTCCTGCCACATCGGCTTCAATATTCGACGAGGACAACTGAGGTAGATGTGGTTGAGTCTACGTGCCTGCTTCATGTACACCGTCCAAGTCCCTGCTCCGTATAGCAACGTCGGTAGGATGACTGCCTTGTAGATCTTCAGTTTCGTGCTGAGTTAAAGACCGTGACGGTCCCAAACTGTGTTTCGAAAGCGACCAATGGCTTGCCCGGCCGTGGAAATCCGGCGGGCTACTTCATCATCGATTTTGGTGCTGCGGAGGGGGTGCTGCCCAGATACGTGAAGTTGTCTACCACTTGCAGTTGGGTTCCATTCACGCTGATTTGCGGCGCATTGTGGGCAGTGTTGGGTGGCAGTTGGTGCCTGACCACCGTCTTCTCCGTGTTGATGATCAGGCAGAAGTTCTTGTAGACGGCAGCGAGGAGATCCATGCTCCTTTGCATGTCCTCTTCCGAGGTGGTGTTGAGGGCGCAGTCGTCGGCGAAGAGAAGTTCGCGAACGGTGGTTGTGGAAACACGCGACTGGAAGTGCATCCGCCGCTGATTGAGGAGGTGGCCGTCCGTCGTGTAGGCGACGCGGATCCCGGGACGTTCTTCACGGTAGGCGTACATCAGCCTGACAGAGAACATGAGACTGAAGGGCGTAGGCGCGAGGACGCAGCCCTGCTTCACTCATTTGGTCACTGCGAATGCGTCTGAGGCAGCTCTATTGTCCGTGACTCGCTGTCGAAGTTGTTGTGTAGTCGACACGATAAAGATTCCCAATCAAAAATCAGGGAAGACGGAATGAGTGGGACAGCCTTTACTGCTTGGAAAGCGTGTACACAAAGGCTGTGTGGGCAGTCGCCGCAAGCGCGCTCCAAGCAAGCTGTTGTCTGCCTCCGCCCTCGAGGTGTTGTCTTAGCGCGTGTGTGCGCCCTTCGTTGTCTCCACGTCGCCAGCCAATCAGAGTGGGGACAGCGTTGATTGGCTTCGAGCACTTGCGCGTCCCAGCAGCGTCTCGACACGGAGTGTGAGGCGGACAGGACGGCAGCGTGACAAAGGCGGAGGGTGAGGAGACGCGAACCGCCACAGTACCCCCCGACTAGACCGAAAGCGGAGCGTAGCGATGCCGAAGGGACTGTTGATATCTAAAAAACATGACTAACGACGTTCCTTCGGTCGTGACCGTCATCGTTCCCGCTCTCGTCCCAGGACCGCCAACCTATGTTGGTATCATGTCAACTATGGCGATAAGGCGCGGCGCTGTGTCCCACCCTGCTCCTTCAAGTCCACGCAGGGAAACTCCTCGGCCGAAGAGTAAATGCGGCCGAGCTCTCTGGCAACTCTACGGGTCGCACATTTTACGTGAGTGATAACACGAGTGGCAGGCATTTTTTAGTCGACACTGGCGCTCAGATTAGTGTTATCCCTCCCACGCCAGCCGACCGACGTTGCCCAAACCATGGTCTTTACCTTCAGGCCGTAAACTCATCCCCCATTACAACCTTTGGATTTCGATCCCTCTCCCTGGATATTGGCCTCCGGCGATTATTCCCCTGGATATTTGTGGTTGCTGATGTTCCCACTGCTATCCTTGGTGCTGATTTTTTGGCCTCCTTTGACCTTCTGGTGGATTGCAGACAACTTCGCCTCCATGATCGCGCAACTACCCTCACTGTCAAAGGATTTCCTCGATCCTCAGTTTCTAATTAGCTCTCCGTCCTTGACCCAAACCCTGACTGTCCATTTCGTAGACTTTTAGCAAAATATCCTACCCTCACTAAGCCCCATTTTTCTGACACCTCATTTCCCCATGATATTGTTCATCAGATAAAAACGACTGGTCCTCCCGTTTTTTCTCATCCCCGCCGTCTTGCTCCCGCGCGTCTTGCGGCTGCTAAAGCAGAATTTGACCACATGCTGCAACTAGGGACTATTCGACAGTCTGACAGTCCCTGGGCATCTCCTTTGCACATGGTTCCTAAACCAAATACGGATGATTGGCGTCCTTGTGGCGATTATAGAGCCCTAAACAATATCACTATGCCCGATCGGTACCCCGTTCCTCATCTTCAGGACTTTGCTGGAGCCCTTTTCGGCAAAACCATTTTCTCGAAGATCGATTTGGTGCGGGCTTTTCATCAAATTCCGATTGCGGCTGAGGACATTCCCAAAACGGCAGTGGCGACTCCTTTTGGCTTGTTTGAGTTCCTTCGTATGCCATTTGGTCTCCGAAATGCCTCACAAACTTTCCAACGTTTCATTGACCGTGTTTTACGCGGCCTTCCATTTGTTTATGCGTATATTGATAATGTTCTCGTCGCCAGTCGAGATGTGGAGGAACATCTCCATCACCTTACCCTGCTTTTCGACCGATTTCAGCAGTTTGGTGTCACCCTGCATCCTTCCAAATGTGTCCTAGGAGCCACTTCTCTTGAGTTCTTAGGTCACCTGATAGACTCAAACGGCATTCGGCCTCTTCCCTCAAAAGGTGCCGCCATTCGGGACTTTCCACCCCCTACCTCGAAGCGTCAGTTGCAACGGTTTCTTGGTATGGTGAACTTTTATCGCCGGTTTCTCCCGAACTGTGCCGATACCATCCTACCTCTGACCAATCTCCTCTCAGGTTCTAAACGCACCTTTGAACTCACACCAGCAGCACTCACGTAATTTGAGCAAGTAAAAGCCCTTCTGGCTGATGCCACCGTCCGACTCCCCGGTGAGATGATCTCGCCAAACCCACAAGGTGCGGTTGAGGATCCCACCAACCTCCTGCATCGCCTCCGGCGGTTTATGCGGACACTTTCTCCGGTTCCTCCCAGGTCCTCCGCCTCTCCGTCTTATCTCGAGAAGGACTTGGCAACGTGCTCTCACGTCTACCTTCGATGTGATCGAGTCCGCCGGCATCTGGAACCGCCCTATGATGGCCCATTTCGGGTGCACTCTCGCGGACCGAAGACTTTCCGCATTCAGCGCGACAATCGTAAAGAGGTCGTGAGTGTGGACCGCCTCAAGGCTGCCGTCCCTGACACTCCTCCGGATGAGCCCTGTAGTCCTCAACCTTCTGCTTCCCCCCACGGAGCCTCTATTCCACCGTCCCGTATTTTCCCTCTGCCCTCCTGTCCGCCATCTCCGACTGCCACCACTAACTCCAACACATCCGCCACCAGATTTATTCACTCTTCTACGGACCCTGTATATATCACTCGTAGTGGTCGTCATGTACACTTTCCTGATCGGTTGGTCACGCATTTCTTTTAGACCTGTACACATCCTTCGGCGTCGTTTTCGCCGGCCTCCGGTCTCGGAGGGGGGTACTGTGCCGAGGCGCCAGACTATCTTGCCTTTCCCTACCTGTTCCTCATTCTTGAACTTACTGGTTGTTTAACTAAATGGAATGAACACAACTCGACGCGACGCGCTTGGCATGAGTGAGATTGTCAGGTCGTTTGACTTTTGATTATTAATTCTTCCATAACTCTGGTCTTATCCTGATTTTTATAGTCTGGGATTGACGGTTCTGTCTTTAGCGCTCGCCACATCGCGCCATCAGCCGTCGTGGAGCTGTCGCACCATCTGAGTGAATCGGTCAGGGCAGCCAAATTTCTGCATTATTTTCTACAGTCCTTCACGATTCGTCGCATCGAAGGCTTTTGCCGGATCCACGAAGGTAAAGTTGATGTGGGTCCGCATCTCCTGGCAATTCTCCTGAAGTTGGAGGGCAGCGAAGATCATGTCTGTGGTCCCACGATGACGGCGGAAGTCGCATTGGCTTTCCGGTAGAAGAACTTGTTTCAGATGGTCGTTCAGGAGGTTGAGAATAATGCGCGCGAAGATTGTCCCCGCGATGTTCATTAAAGAGCTGCCTCGGTGGTTATCACAGAGCTGCCGATTACCCTTTCGCTTATAGAGATAGACAATTGTGACTTCCTTAAAATCCAGCGGGAATTCTCCTCGACACGACATCTCCTGGAAAAGCGGCGCCAGATGGTCCATTGGTTGGGGGCCACTTTACTTGTAGATCTCAGCAGGGATAGATTCCCATCCGGACGCTTTCCCGCCGGGGAACTGATGCATGGTCCTGATGGTTTCGTGTAGAGAGGGCGGGGGGTCGAGGTCGGAGTTGGTCTCCACTTGCGGCAGACGGGCGATTGCGGCGTCGGAGATGGTGGAGGGACGATTGAGGACGCCTCGGAAGTCCTCAGCCCATCGCCGTAGACCGTCTGTCTTCTCATTTGGTAGGGTACTCCCGTCTGCGCTGAGAAGAGGAGCAGTGGCTTTGGTTAGCAGACCGTAGACAGCTTGATCGCGGCAAGGGTATTCTTCCATTCGTTGCGGCCCACGTACCCTTGGATTTCCTCGACCTTGCGAGCCGTCCAGGCGTCCTGCATCTAGCGCAGGCGCTATTGCACAAGGCGGCGACTATGGAAGAAGGCTGCTCTGTTGTCGTCGGTGGGGTGGTTGACATAGGCTTTGTGCAGGCGGTTCTCCTCGGCAAGCAGGTTGCTGGTGGCGGTGTCGTTGTCATCGAACCAGTTCTGATGTTGGCGGCATACGCTATCGAGGACGGCCAGGGGCGTCGACTGGACTGTGTCCTCCAGTTGACACCATCGGTTCTCCACGGAAGCGTTCTCGTCAGCGGAGCTAACAGCGACTGGGAGATTGTCTAGCGGTTGAGCTGACTCGTTACTGAAATGGAGACGTTGAGCAGGCAAAGACAACAGAGCGATAGTTAGCTTACCTGGGGGTCGCTTATCTTGAGGTCTCCTGCGAGACTGTAGGTGAACCCGCATATTGGAGATGACGAGACGATGGTCGGTCTACCCCTCGGCACCCGAGATCGCCTTTGTCACCGGCACGTCCTGCTGGCTTCACCGCCGGACGAGGACATTGTCCAGCAGGTGCCAATGTCGCGACCGAGGATGCATCCATGTGGTCTTCTCTCGCATCGGGAGGCGGAAGAATGTGTTGGGTAGGATGATCTGGTGTACTGCGCAGGTTCGTAGAAGGAGCAGGCCATTGTCGTTGAAGCCATCGAGACCATAGGGACCCAGCACTCTCTTCCAAGCAGCATGGTCTGTGCCGACGCCGGCATTAGAGTCACCGAGGACAATCAACTTGTCCGCTTTTGGCACAGTCGCTAGGAGGGAGTCCAGGTCCTTGTAGGATTTGTTCCTTGCCATGTCAGGGCTGGTCATTGGGGGAGCGTAGACACCAATTATGGTGGCGAATTTGCCCCCCTGGAGAGGCAGGCGGCGGTTTATCAGGCGATTGTTTATGCCCTGCGGCAGACAGGACAGTCGTCCCACGATGTCATTCCAGATGACAAAGGCGATGTCCGCGTCCTGTCGCTTTGCCTTGGGTCGGCCACTCCAGAAAATGTGTAGTCGGTACTAACCTTCTCCAGTTGGCCTTGTTCGGAGAACCGGGTTTCACGAAGTGTAGCAATGTCCACCTCGTAGCGCGCCAGTTACCGAGCCACTAGACCAGTTCTCCGTTCCGGTCGGTTGCTCCTCGGATTGTTTATAATGGAACGAACATTCCAGGCTGCCAGAGTGAGCAGCCTGGTGAGTGGGCGGCGGGGAGGAGGAGGGGGAAGAGAGAGAATGTGTGTTGTTTCTGTTTTGACTGGTTTGATTGTGAATTTTACGTCTGCGACCACGGTCAGCCAACTGCCACTGTAGCAAACGTCTAGACCTGTTTAACGGATCTGGTGCAGTTGTGGACGGAGCAAATACGTCGGAGAAACTGGGAGATAACTGCAGACGCGAGTGACCGAGCACCAGGCAGCAGTGAGAAGGAAAGACGCTGGCCCGCATGTGGCGGTTCGTTCCACAGGACCCGGCCATATTTTCAAGTTTCGAGTGGCTGATATCCTCCCAAGAGGCGGCAACCGCGTGAGCCGCGAATTCTAAGGGTCGTGGTTGTGCACAATGTAAATATTACAGGTATTTCGCATTAAATATTACATCATTGGAAACGAATATGATCCTTCTCATAAACCTCGTTGAATTGTTAATAAAGTACAATAAATTTAAACCAATTGATGAAATCACTAGCAATCAGCAGACTGTACCGAAACTGACACAGTTGATTAACAGCCGCCCAGTAATAGAAGGCTCACACAGCCATGAAAATAGTTTCAGGAAATCGCTGGCTGCAGAAATATAAAAAGTGGCAGAAGAGGGAGGTGGCAACTCTAACGTACAGCGTCGCCCTCACCAAGTGCGGTATTAAACGAAACTCCGAAATCGCAAACTGAGCTGGGAACTGAGAGTGGCAGGGTACAGCTATCATTCCTAGCCACTCAGCCGAAGAACGGACAGATTCGGTAATACTATTCTGCCTATATATCATGCGCCGCTGTGCGGCTGCTGGTTGGGCTCGAGAGAGAGTCCATAAGGCACAACGGAACGAGTGAGTTCCGTATGAACGATCGGTGAGCGCCCCCTAACATTGTATACTCCCGATCGAAAACCGACAAGGCAACGGGCTCGTGGCCCGGTGAGTAGAGGCGTTGACTTCTAAACCAACAGGTCGCGAGTTCGAGGCTCGGGTGTTCCACACTTCGGGCTTGGGTATGGCTGGCTGACGACGGCTAATAAGCCAGAAATGGCCATTCCAGTCTCCCTTGTCTTTGTCGGTAATACTATTCTGCCTATAGATTCTTAGCTGTCCGACCTCCTCCACAGAAGAAGGTAGAAGGATTTAGAGTTCAAATGACTACCACATGGACTGAGACCTAGGGAAAAACCGCAAAGAAAATAATAACACGAGATCTTAAATCGCTCCAGAAATGTCGAGAAGAGCCGATCACCGTTTCTTTCAAGGGCGCAGCGGAAAAGCAGGCGAATGATAATAGTATTCAGATCGCACGCGGGCAACTCAAATCATATCAAAAGAAAAAAATAGACTAAAATTAACTGAGGATTATAGAGGTAACGACAGAATTCGGACGGCTTCTATGTGCTTGAAAAAAACACTTGCTAAAACTAAAAAATGAACATTGGCTGAACATTCGAGAGAAACCACAAGGAATCAAGTGGACACAGTCGCAGCGGACTCAAATATCACCTCTGTCGATACAAGAGATAGGGACCGTATTGTCACGGGTACTGCGCCACTAGTTCAAGAAAAGGTCCCCAAAATTGACGGCAACCAGAACATCATCGTGAAAGGTTCACCGGAAACTCCCGAGTTACCATCATCACGTAACAAGTACAGGCCGCTCTGAGGGCGATGTTTGATAATAAAGGGACTTCAGGTGGCAAACACAGACACACCTAAGGAACGTGTTCTACCCGATCTCGACGTGTTCCAAGGTCTTCTGAATTCAGTGCTTCAACCCAAAGAGGAAGTTTCAGTATTGAAAACCTTCCCGTTCGGGAAGCGCACTACTGAACCCTCCACCTCACCGCATCCTAGACCCCTCAAAACTGTTCTGATTCGCAAAGCTCAGGTTGATCTCATCCTCCCAAGACGTTTTCAATTAAAATATTCCCAGCAACGAGTTCTTCAGCCAAACTACGCCCTGCCGGAGTATCTAAAACGTTAGCAGGTAGTCCAGAAGCCCAGACTGCGACTCAGGAGCGGAGAACAAAACCTGGTTATATACAACAACCGCAAAATCGGGCTTCCGATCCGGTTTATATGGACTCATCCAGTGCATATGTCGCCGTAGCTGAAGCAAATGACAGAGGAGGCGGCATAGTCGGCTTACCATAAGTAGAAAAACTAGTGTTTGTATATCAACGCGCATTCTACTATGCAAATTAGATGAGCTTAAGATTTGCGTAAGCCAAACTTTACCAGATGTCATATCCATAACTGAAACGTGGCTGTTCGCGAATGTAGGCGATCAAGAAGTCACACAACTTAGACAATTTAGTTCACCATCAGAACGTCAGAGTCACGAGTTCTTGACATCCTAACGGCTTACTGACCACCGAGGAACAACACGCAGTCAGACAGTAGTCTGATAGAGGAAGCGGAAACGCTTTCCATCGGATCCGATGCCATGACAATGGACGAATTTAACGCTCTGAGCATCGATTAGTACCTGAACTCAGCTCCAGGCTTAGAATTAAACTTCTATCACCACCGCCTCCTACTAACAGTACAAAAATCACATCTCACCCAACACGTCTTACCTCCAACTAGTCTACGTGAAGGGTAACAAGCCTGAACTTTACTGAAAGAAGCGCCTAACAGCGCCACTATCGTAAACTGTCTACCCTCTCCCGGAAAAAGTGCCCACATAGTTCGACAGTGGGAGTATTCTCTCTTCTCAGTACCTGATCGAAGCATCACGATCAGATGCAGCATATGACAGGGAGATTTTAACCAGATTGAAATCGACGTGCGCCGTATAGACTGGAAATCAACATTCACAGGGTGCGTCCTCGAGGACTGGTTGGGATGCAAGGCCTTATTGCATGAACTTATCACAAAATGCTGTCTTAGATTGCAAAAGAAGATTACCAGCAGGCCCCGATAGCTAAAGGCCACACTAAAGAGGGAAACCAACCATAAGCGAAAGCTGTAGAAAACCTTTCTCAGGGGCAAGATTGGGCACAAGGAGGTTCTTCTTCAGTTACAGAGTGATTAAGGTATGGCATGCACTGCCTGTGGACGTCGTCATGTCTCCATCCGTGGACACTTCTAAGAGGAAGCTTGACCACTACAGGGATCTGCGTCACCACACCGCCAGAAACTAACGAATTTCTCCCTTTGTGACATCTTTCCCGAGAGTTATACGTCACAAAGTATGCTGCTTTTATGTTAAGTGACGTCGTTTTATAAATGTTTATTTTGATACCCCATCCAATGACGTGGGATCCAAGTTATAATGGTAAGGGGGCGCTCACCGATGTTTCCTACGGAACTCACTCGTACCGTTGTGCCTCACGGGCTTTCTCTCAAGCCCAACCAGCAGCCGCACAGCGGCGCATGATATAGGCAGTATGTTATTACCGACAAAGACAAAGGAGACTGGAATAGCCATTTCTGACTTGATTGGCCGTCATCAGCTAGCCCATCAGGCGGGGAACGCGTCTGGCGCCTTTACCTTTATTTTTCCTTCCTTCCGTACAGAATACTGGAATCTGTATATCTTCTGAGGGCCGTCTGAGGTCCGTAACGTTTTGTCCCTGCCCATGATTTTGTTTCCTGTAATGACGATATCCACCGTTAGCCCCCATGCCGTGGCAGCCGAATTTGCCAAAGGTCTACTTGGTCGCCTATCTGGCCAACTCTCCTGGATTAACGTTAGGTGACAGCCCGCTGGAACCGAATGTGAGGGACTCCTTACAAAATCTCTTCATTACCGAAAACAGATGCCATTTGGTAAGGCAAAAATCTAAAATGAATAGAACAAACTAGAAAGGTGTCGACAACCTTCTTGTGGTGAGGAAGTAAGGTCAGATAGAAAAATTTGCATTAGAAGTTAATAGCGAATGATAAGCTACCCAAAACAGCAAACCCTGATGGCGAGTTTGAGTATGTATCCGAAACATCGGACGGGCAAAATTCTCGACTCAGCGACCGAGTCTACTTTGTCCTAGTTGTTACCTGGAGTTTGTCTGTTCAAGTGTATCGGAAAATTCCCCTTTTCGGCAATTTGTTTAATTTCATTCGAAATGTCCTTCAGGATTTTGCGTGGAGATAACCAACAAGGCAATCCTTTTGGTGCGGTGACTGCAACGCACGCCGGCTGATGAGCAGCAGCAGCAGCAGCACATCTAGCGAAACGAGATTTGCACTAGCACAGCGACATAATTACAACTACGAAAGGTTGCTCTTCGCAATAAGTGGGATACTCCTGCGTCTGAATAATGCCACGGACTCCTAGCAGCAAGCAGGTGGTGGTTCTTTGGCTATTTCGACATTACAGGTTAATCAGGGACTTATAATAAGGAGCGACGAGGTAGCGGCCGGAAGACGGAGGATGCATGCGCCAAATATCAACACCAATGGCCTTTAGAATGAACGAGGGAAGTCCTGATGCACGAAGGGGAAGTTGGACCCCCAGCACTCCAGGTGGCCTCGTGCTAAATTCAAACACGACTCCTCTTACCCTGTCCTAACTTTAACCCCAGCACTAATCCTAACCATACCATCAGTCCTAACCCTCCTACGTCTAACCATAACACACAGCCTAACTCTAACCCCCTGGGATATGGGGCAAGGCCACTTGCGA